TCGTCCAAGGGGGGCGGTGACTAGTAATAAGGGGGGCGGTAAATAGTAACGCCCTTTTAGATTTTAAAGAAAAAATTAGCAAGCACCCGTGTAATACACGAGCGTTGTACTAGTGTAATAAATGAATGCTTAATAGTAATTGCCAAATTTAGTTGAAATATTTAGATGAAAAGTTTGTGACAAATATAGTAAAAATAATTGTTCCAGAATCCAGATATAGATATAAATATAGATATTGATTATAAAATAAATGAAAATCTGACATTTAGATTTATCCCATAAACTTTGGTAAATCTTATTGTCTATCACCAACTTTCGATAATCTGAAAAGTGGGGTAACAACTGAAAGAACACAAACTACACGGACTAACAAGAAAACAGTACAAACTAAAGGACCAGGGTTGCAAAATTCTATCGCCCGAAAAGGTAAAAAAATCTATTTACCGGCGAAGCCCAGCACGAGGGCTTATTTATAATTATATCCCCCATTTTTGTTTTTATTTTTATTTTTACCAAATTTGATTTTAAGTGACAGAGAGGAGCTATAATTCTCGTGTTCTTGTTCGAAACAAACCCGCATAGAAACAAAAGAGGAGCCCCAATTCAATTCGACACACACACACACACACACACACACACACACACACACACAGAAGAAAAAAGCACGCACTGAAAACACGCAGTGAATGCGTATGGGAAACCCCTTTACTTCGAAGGGGTGAAAAGAATTGAGTTTAGTATTTTTTTATTTTTTTTTTCTCTGTTTCTCAATGGCGCTAAAGGTGCAGCTGCTGCTGAGGGAGCTGGGATCGAAGCTGGGGAGTCCGCCGCCGTCGAAGGACGCTCTGGTTAAGCTCTTGAAGGTGAGAAACCGCCATTTGGGCATATTGTTTGCGTTGGAATTTCGTTAGGAGCTTTGATTTTTTGTGCCCGTTAGTTAATTCGTGCTCCTTTGAGAGTATTGTTGATTGGTGCATGTTTGGAATTCGTCTATTTTTTGAAGATTCCGCGGTTTATGGTTGAAATAGGGTTGTTTTAGGCGTCGTTTGGCAAAAAAGATCGAATCTTTATTCGAGTACTTCTTAGTTAGGAGTGATGTGGAGATTTCAGGCCAGTGTTCTGCATTGGAAAAGTTATGTATTGGTGCTAATTAGGGTTACATGATCTTGGTGAGATTAGTTTATTTGAGAGAAAATAAATTTGGAGTATTTTGTCTTAACACTCCAACCTTCACCTGATTATTAAATTGTCAGAGGGAGAAAGCAGAAAGTCTGACCATCTTTTTTTGTCTTCAATCCGGCTGTGCATGAACAGTCGGAAGAATCTTATTTTTCTCTCAGGGTATACTTAATTAGCGTGGTTCTCAGGCTTCGTTTCAGTTTGCCCTGACAAGTTTTATTCCAGACTTGTATATGTGTTATTTATGAGTGTGAATATTGGTAAAAGAAAGAGAGAATTTGTGCTACTCATGTGAAGTTCTATTAGGAATTGGTGAATTGCATCTTTTATCCTTTGCTTGTACCTAATTAAATAAGCGTGAAGAAATCTATTCTCCGTGTAACCAGTTTTATCATCTGAGTTTGCTTACCTCATTAGGAGCACTAAATTTTGTTTCTTTTTGTTTTTTCCTGCTCACCCATCAAGCAAATTTTCTTTCACGATTGTACGTGCCAGAAAGTACTGAACTCTGCAGTTTAACTATAGGCCGTCGCGCTGCTAGTTTATAGTTGGTAGACATAAAATGACTTAGATTCTCGATTGATTGCTGTATAGTAATTCAATGGTTTATCCTGTTGCAGCATAGCGAAGCATGTCTCACTGACTTGGATCAGTCACCTGAAAAATCAGTGATGGACTCTATGCAGCCCCTCGTAGATGCCATAGCCAAGCCAGAATATTTGAAACATCAGGACCGGGAGGTCAAGCTCTTTGTAGCTTCTTGCATTTGTGAAATAACTCGAATTACTGCACCGGAGGCCCCTTTTGATGACGATGTCTTTAAGGTACTTCCTCCCTTGGAATTTATTTTTAAAGTATGTTGTTTTCTGTTTACCGTGTATACATATGACTTATCTGTTCTGACTGTTTCTGTTTGATATAATCCCAGGACATCTTTCAGTTGCTTGTGAGTACTTTCAGTGGCTTAAGTGATATAAACGCCTCATCATTCAGAAGGAGGGCTGCAATCCTCGAAACCATGGCTAGATATAGATCATGTGTTGTGATGCTGGATCTAGAATGTTATGATCTCATAGATGAAATGTTCAATACATTTTTCGCTGTTGTCAGGTGCGGCTCAGTCTGAGTGGATTAAATTCAATTAAGTGCTGGGGAACTAACATTGTCTATTTTACCCCTGCAGTGAAAATATGGCATTGCTGTTGAAATGTAGTATTCTTTTGTTTTCGTCATTCCTAAGTAGACACATATA